GTTACAACAAATTGAAGATCGCAAAAATCGCAGTTCTATCGCGACTTTGACCAAACAGAATTGTAAGAAATTAATAAAATTAATTATAATTAATTATTAGTATATATAAGTAATATATATAAATATAATAATATAAATGTAAATAAATAAAAATATAATAATAAAAATAATATAAATATAATAATATGTTTGGTCAAAGTCGCGATAGAACTGTGAGGGTTGTGTCAAAAGATACTTGTTATAATAATTGATAATAATTATAAAGTTTTAACGGTGCCATAATATCAAAATTTATAGATACCATAAGACCAACAACTTTAAGTACCGACAACTCGACAAGGGGGGCCAAGGGGGAAATGATCTTCGTGTCGCTATTTGCAGGAAAGTGTACTGAAGATAATCCATCGCGTCGCAAAGTGGAATTTTGTGGTGGTAAAAAGTAAACAATTTAACAAAATTTTTCTTACCGCATTCAGCATAATTTTCCAACGAATTATTCTCATTGTTTGTTCAACGAAAGATGCGATTTCTTATCAAAAAACATTGCTCCTCGCGTTAAAAAGAAAACCAGATATACGCATTGAATAGTATCGTTAAAATAATTTAAGTAGTATAGTTTTAGTATTAGTATTAGTATACAGGGTGTCCCAAAAATGTCTCGAAATCCGGAAATGGCGGGTTCCTCAGACCATTAGAAGCAGCTTCTTCCTTTACAAAAATTTTCTCCGAGACACCGTTAACGAGTTATTAACGAAAAACAGTGACCAATAAGAATCGAGTACGGCTGACACGAGGCGGCCCAGCCAACCGGCGCGCGAAGCCCAGTTCCGCTCATTGACTCGGTTGCCTCGCGCCATCTGAGCTCGTCTCTCATTGGTCACTGTTGTTCGTTAATAACTCGCTAATGGTGCCACGGAGAAAATTTTTGTAAAGGAAAAAGTTGCTTCAAATGACCTGAGGAACCCGCCACTTTCGGATTGCGAGACATTTTGGGGATACCCTGTATAGTATATAGTATATTAGTATATAGTAGTAGCATTAGTATAGTATATTAGTATATAGTAGTAGGATTAGTATAGTATATTAGTATATAATAGTAGTATTAGTATAGTATATTAGTATATAGTAGTAGTATTAGTATAGTATATTAGTATATAGTAGTACTATTACTATAGTTTATTAGTATATAGTAGTACTATTAGTATAGTATAATATATTAGTATAATATTACTTTTTACACATAGAAATACCGCCCCTGAAATTTCCAGCTACGAATGATCACATTTTTCGAAAATTTCTACCGTATTTTATTAGTTCCTTTATTTTCGAAGTTGCTAGACAGGCAGAAGGTAATAAAAGTTCGACAGATATCGACGGTGGAGAGATGATTTTTTGACAAAATGTCACCGAATTTCTCGGTCCGGCCCATACCGTGCGCCGGGATGAATTCTGTTTGTAAATTGAAACTGAGAGCAGCCGAAGCACCGGCGGAAGCTATTTAATTCGAGCGGCACCGGTTTCCCCCCCGCCGGGCGAGGGGAAAGTGAGGGGCTGCACGCGGAACGAACTAACTTTTGCCGATCGACGCGACCTACACGCAACACGTCCGGGGGAAAGAAAAGCGGCGCACGAGCGATTTAACAAAAATCCTATCGGCGGAATCGTAACGTTCGAGTTATTGGCCCCGTAATTAAACGCGGCGTCTGCCCGCGCGTGCTCGCCCCGCGGTCTTTTCGCCGGGCGGCAAGAGGGGCCCGGAAGCACGCGCACGGATTCGGGACGGAACGAGGGAACGTAAAAAGGAAATTCGAAAAACCGAGTGCCGCTTGTTGCGAGCTCATTCCGTTCGGTTACGCGGTTATCGATCACAGCCGTGCTCGGTCCGTTTCCTCGATATTTCGAATTCCCCGGAATCATGAATAGCGAATTCTTTCGCCTAAACTACTGTCGAGCCCGGCTTACGGGCCGCCAACGTTCCCGCGGCCGAGTCTACGAATAGGTGAGATTTCATAAGAGTAATAAAATCTAACATTCTACAGTGTGGAATGCTCTAAAAATTAATCTCATTATTTTTTATATAGTTAACACTAGATTTACGAAGCATAAAGAACAGCTGTTTTATATTAGTTTATAAAAGTAACAATAAGGCAGTTGTTCTGATTTTTAACAAGTGTTATTGTAACATTTGCCGTAAGTAATATACCACGTGTCTCAAAAATGTCTCGCAATCCGAAAGTGGCGGGTTCCTCGGGTCATTTGAAGCAACTTTTTCCTTTACAAAAATTTTCTCCGAGGCACCGTTAACGAGTTATTAAAGCAAAACAGCGACCAATGGGAGGCGAGCTCGGCTGGCGCGAGGCGACCCGGCCAACCAGCGGAACTGGGCTTTGCGCGCTGATTGTCTGGGCCGCGTCGCGTCAGCCGTACTCGATTCTTATTGGTCACTGTTTTTCGTTAATAATTCGTTAACGGTGCCTCGGAGAACATTTTTGTAAAGGAAGAAGCTGCTTCAAATGATCCGAGGAACCCGCCATTACCGGATTGCGAGACATTTTTGAGACACCATGTATATGCACAGGTATGATATTTGTTCACGTTACGTTTTTTAATGAAATTCGTACAGTGACTTTTTGTAGTCGCGGAGGATTTTTATCAATTATGCGACGCGAGGATTTTTATCATTTATGAAATATAAAATCTTCCGAAAGTTTTCGGTAGCTTCCGAAACGTTACAAAAATTTTCCACGCGTTCCAAAAAATATTTCGACCAGCAGAGACTAACCATAACCTTGCAGAGAGAGAGAGAGAGAGAGAGAGAGAGAGAGAGAGAGAGAGAGAGCCAAGTCAACTCTCCGGTAAATCGTCGAACACGAATTCGCGTGCGTGCGTTAAGCTGACGTTAAGTAAACGTCAGCTGGAGCAGACTACAGGTTGGCCCGATTCAAGACCCGGTGCCTAAAGTCGGCTGAATTCGCGCCCGTTGCTCTTGAAGCGCTCCAATACGCTCGCATGAATAATGTTTGATTATGAATCAGTCCTAATGATACTAGCCGGGATTTCATTCGGCCCTCTCCATTATGGCTCGCTACGATTCAGGGATTCTAAATTAACCTATTTCGATTAATCCGCCGCCAGGTCCTCTCTGTAACTCATGATAGGCTGTTGCTGTTGGCGTGTCCCGATTCAGGTCAAATCATTGATTCTACTTCGGCCGATTCGCGTGCCTTAGTCCCCCCGGCTGGTCCACGCCGCAGGCTTTCAATGCGTGTCTGCCGTGGATTGATACGATTCAACTCGCTCGATCGACAAATCACGTGCTCATGGTAACACGAAATATTCAATATTCGAGCTAGCGCGCAATTTTTGCGCCCCGCTCGAGGTACGGGTGTAACTATATTTAACGAGCATCGAAGGCGAACGTTGCATTTTGGGGAGGCAACATGGATGACCTTGATTTTTACTGTGACCTTGACACGACCGATATATCAGTATTACAGAAATGAAAAATATTATAGAAATTTGAAAATTTAGCGTGAAATAAATATGTACAGGCGATTCACTTTATATTTTTTTGTATCTGTATTTACGAAATGATCATTAAAAAAAAAAGAGAGATACAATTAAATGAAATCAATTAATGAA